TTCTCTCTTTGTCTTTGAGCTTTGCCAGTTTGACTATAATGTGTCTTAGAGAGGACCTTTTTGGATTGAATCTGGGAATCTTTGAGCCTCCTGGATCAGAAGGTCCATATCTCTCCCTATACTTGGAAAGTTTTCCACTATTATTTCATTAAATAGGTTTTCAATGCCTTTTCCTTTCTCTTACACTTCTGGAACACCCATAATTTGAATGTTTGTGTGCTTAAGGTTGTCTGCTAACTCTCTTAGATTTTCTTCATTTTCTTTGATTCTTTTTCCTTTTTTTTTTTTTTTTCTGTCTGTCTGGGTTATTTTGAAAAGACTGTCTTCAAGGTCAGAAATTCTTTCTTCTGCTTGCTATAACCTGCTGCTTAAGCTCTTGGGTGTGTTTTTTATTTTGTTGAATGAATCCTTCAATTTCAGGATCTCTGTTGTATTCTTTTTTTAAGGCACTAATCTCTTTGTAAATTTCCTCCTTCATACCCTGGATGCTTTTTCTTATTTCATTGTGTTGTCTGAATCTTCTTGTATCTCACTGAGTTTCCTTAAGGTTGTTGCTCAGAATTCCTTTTCAATCATTTCAAGGGTTTCCTGCTCTATGGAGTCTGGTACTTGAGAATTACATTCCTTTAGTGGTGTCATATTTTATTGTTGTTGTTGTTTTTCTTCTTATTTCTAGTCTCTACATTGATGTCTGGTCATCTGAGAGAACAATTGCCTGTTCTGTTATCTTTAAGTGGGATTGAGGAGAGATACTTCCTCTTGTAAATTTTTTTATATTGACCATTGAGTAGGGTGTTTAGTGTTTTAGTATTAGTTCCAGGTAGACACAGTAGTGTAGTCTCTGTGTGGGTACTTCAGCTATATTCAGTATTGGAGTTGCATGTGGGTGCCTCCATAGCCAAGGCCCTGGGAAACTTAGTGATTCCTTGCCAAGGTTAGTGACACTATGTTGGTTCATTGAGTATGTGGGCAAGCTCTTACATTCTTGGGAGAAGTGCCTTGGTGCCCAGTCACTCTTTTACTGGGATGGATGACCCTGGGAAGGCTTGCTGGCACTCTAGCTAGTGTCTTGTGACCCTGATGGGCACACTGGGTTATACTGGTTATACTAGAGTTCCTCAGTTTGAATGCATGACACTTGGTAGGGTTTCCCTTTCCTCTTTCCTATTGTCAGAATTTCCTCCTGGGTCTTTGCTTCTCCTGGTTGAGGGATGATTTGATGGTGACTGGGAATTTCTTCCTTACTCTATTTGGTATTTCCATTCTTGGGGCATTCTGCCTATGTCTCTCCCCAGATCAAGGCAGTCATGTGGGCTGTGCACATACCTTTCACACCTAGGTGTGCTACCAAGTGTGGCAGTGTAATTCCCCTTGTGTGTTGAGCCACTGGGTCACAGGTCTGTGCTCACTCACTGGTTTCCCCAAGCTCTGCTGGTGAATCTCCTTGTGTCAATGTACTCAAGTGGTCAATGGGTCACCTGCATGATGGAGGTGGCTTCTGCTGTGCTGCCAATCTGCCCTTGCAGCAAAAGTTGCTGTGGTGATAGCTGTGGTGGACCATAAACACAGCAGCAGTGTCTGAGGTTCTTGTGCATGCTTCCTGCCTCCTCCCAGTCCATTTTGTTTCTATAAGCTCTGTGAAGGAGACTGCAGTTCCCTGGTTCTCCTGTGGATTGAGGGGTTGGCATAGGCTGTGGGTTAAGATCTCTGCACTCAGGTCTCTGGGCCTCATCTGCTACTATCTTTGGAAACTTCTTTATTTATTTTTAACTGCATAAATGAACAACAGAAGTGTTGAACCTATGGCCTTTTTGTTCATCTCTTCTAGTTCTTTTGTCATTTTTCAGTGTTGCAGCCTTTGTATCAATATGACTTCTGCTTCTAATCTACTTTAGGTTTATACAGAACTCTAAATTGATGTTCCTGTGGGTGGTTCTAACCTTTTCTACAAAGTAAAAACCACAATAAACTTCAAAACTTTAGGTGAGCTTTCTGTATGGGCTCTATGGTATTTATTAATCTCTTCTCTTTTGCTTGCTTCTGGGTTTTACATCTATGTTCTGGCTGATGTGGATCTTTTTTGTTTATAATTTCAAAGTATTTTAATCAGTGTCCACTTTCTGAATTGCCCTGAGATATTATAAAATATACCTTGCTTTACCTGTAGGTTGCACAATTTTAAAAACTTTTTAATTGCTGTTTTAATTTTATCACTTAATAAAAATTATTACAATTTGTCATCAGTTTTGAGAACAACCTAAGATGCAATTAAGTAGTAAATGATACAAACCTTATATGGGACATGGATGGATGTTTACACTATGCATCTTAGATTTCTACCAAATAAAAAAAATAAATTCAGTTATTTGCTAACATTAAATAATCATGTGTAACTTCCAGATTTCTTAGTTTTTACTTTTTGTTTTTATGATATGCCTTTAGACATTCATATTGGATATTTTGTGTCAATTTTAAATTCCCTAAGAGTACAAAGCCTCTATCTTTACATTATCTTACTTGATTTCATTTATTGGAGCAATCAATGGAGATGACAGTAATTTACATTCTAAAAATAGAATGGGCTTTATTTTGACTCCTTAATTTTTTGACCTCTTTTTTTTTTTTTGGCCCTCAAAAGAAACATTCTAGTGGTTATAGTTGTATGATAATCTAATTAAAATTGCATTATTACAAATCTTTCAATTTAATATCACTTACAAAATACTAAAAATACTTCAGATAAGTTGGAAAAGCAAAAAATAGTATAAAGACAATTCACTCAAAACAATAATTGAGAAAACTTGATCAAATATAACTAATGCATTATATGCAAATAAAATATTATTCTTTTAAAGATGGGAGTTTTTGTTTTGTTTTAGATTTTTGATCTTATGATTCAAACTCAGTTTCAGCTCTTCTACTGTGAATAGTTTTAGATCAAACCTGTTCTTCTTGGAGCAGGTTAGGATGCCTTTTGCAGGACATTGCTCTATGGGAAGAATGGAGGGGAGGGATGTCGTAGTCGCCTCCTCCTTTATTCTGACTCCATAAAATGCAAAGGCAGCTCGTGAAAATATCTGATGATTTCTACCAAAATTTAAGTGCATTACTTTTTAGGAAATAAGTGCTACTTTTAGATTTAATTATTAGAATTTAAATTTATTAATGATGGATAGTAATCCGTATTTTAGAAAGAAATTGGGAATGTTTAACCCATGTTTTAGGACTTTTGTGTAAACTATTGTATTGTTTTGCTCTGTGGACAAAGAAATTGCCTTTATTTTTTCAGGAAATTGTGGCTGCAGAGAAGAAGAAACAGACTGTTGCAGAGCAAGTGATGACAGACCAGTTATCTAGGTGAGAGTTAGTAACTGGTAATACAGAGTTCATTAATGTTCTTTTTTTTTTCATGCATGACAACCACATCTTCGGTCAATCAATGAGTAGCTAACTCAGAAGTTCCCAAACTTTCTCTGTTAACTTTATTTTTAGTGTTCGAGTAATTCCTTCACAGCACTCTCAGACTAATAGAAATACCTAATGGTTCTATTTATTAAGTACTTTTGTCTAAACCACTTAAGTATTTACTTCCTGACAACTTCATGGCCATTTGAAAAAATAATACACATAAATTGAAAGAAAATGTTTTTATTTTATTCTTATTTACTCATGGGGTGTATGTGTCTTTTGGGCATTGTGGTTTTTCTCAAATCTTAGAATCAATTAGGATGCTGCCACCCTCAGGTTCTATTCTACATTGATTTTCACATGGTATTTGCTTTTTATCACAGCAACTATAAAAGACCTAGCTTTGTAAAGATGTAACATCATTGAAAGAGTATAGCATAATATCTTGTTGACACTGCAAACCTCGAGCAAGTGGTTTACATGGTGTCTAAGAGATGACAAGTATTACTGTGTTTTCCTCAAAGATTAAAAATGTTCTCCAGTGACCCTGTGAGTTCACTGTGGTATCCCAAAATGACTTGGTACACTCTGAGAATAGTGAGACCACTGTCAAGAATTTTAAACCCCCTTAGAAAACTATATAAAGTTTTAACACATATAGTGTTTGACAATATAGAAATATGGTAGGATTTCAGAAGAGGCTGGAATAATCTAGGAAGTCCTCAAGAAAAAAGTAAAACTTAAGTTTATTTTTGAAAAAATTGGTTAGCTATGTGGCAGAGAGAAAAAAATGATACTTTATATGTGTGTTATCCAGTAAATTCTTTCAATTAACTATACCTGGAGTCTCCAATGTATCTCCTTTCCATTATATTATGGAATTACTTATGTTTTCATCTCCACCATGCCACCACAACTTTTCTTAAGAAAATAAGTAGTGACATCGATATTGCTTGACCAATGGTGATTTCTCAGTTCTCATCTACCGACCCATCAGCAACATCTGTCTCAGCTGAAAACTTTCTTCTCTTTGAAACACTTTTCCTTTTCCACTGGGATTCCTGAACTCTCACTTGACTGTTTTCCTCCTATCTTCCATTCCTTCTCAGTCTCTTCTGGTTCTTCATCTCCCTAGTCATTAAACATAGAAGTGCCCAAGGGCTCAATTCTTGGACCTCTTCTGTATTTGCTTCCTAAGTGATATTATCCCTACCATGCCTTTAGAAACCTTGTAGATCCTGATGCCTTCCTAATCTAATATTCCAATTGAACACATTCCAATCTGGATTCCCGAAAGTTCATTGCCTTCTCTCCCTTAATAACCAAATCCTCTTTAATTTTCCTCTACAAGTTATTTAGATCTGAGATCCTGATGATGCCTTTGATCCCTCTTTATCAAATCCTATATCTAGTTTGTTAGCAAATGCTCTCAGTTCTACCATCAAATAAATTTACCCTCTCTGCTGCCACCATCCCTGTCCAAACCATTATCTTTTGTTTCCTGGATTATTTCAGTCACTTCCTAACTTGTCTTGTTGTGTCTGCATTTGCTTCTTATTGTTTTATTCTCAACCCAGCAGCCAGAGTTAATCTATTAAAAGGCAAGTCAGATCAAACCCTCCAGTATTTCCTGTCTTAATTATAGTAAAATTTATAAGGCCTATATATTGGTTATGTGTCACCACAAAACCTGCTAGCTTAAAAACAACCATTAATTTTGCTCATGTTTCTTTAGGTTAGCTGTCCAGGCCAGGCTTGGCTGAGTGGTTCTTACTTCTTATTTACTTTGCCCAGTTATATATGAGAAAAAGCAATGGTCTGAGTTCTTAGCTTAGGCCTTAAGAGACCTCACGTGTTTCTATTTGGCCTTTTGTGCTTCTGCGGTGTCTGAGAGAAGAGCCCACTAGTCTCAAGAAAAAGATACCTGTACAAATGCAGCGGGGCTACTTAACTCAGATCATCTTAGATCAGGATTCCCAGCCAAGCCCCACTTGCATAAGTTAGTTCAGTTGAGATCAGCAGAGCCATATAGCTGTATATAATTGTCTATATAGCAAATCAAATGGCTAAGCTTAAGATCAAGGGGTGAGAAAGCACACTCTACCTGTAATGGGCCATAGAAAGAATGTGGATCAGGAGTGCTGAAAAAGTTGGGGCCAATAATAGAGTTTATCCCTGCCCACCATTTGACTTTGGACTTGTCTCCCTCTTGTCCACTCTGCTCCAGCCATTTGGCTTGCTCCTTGTTCTGAAACATACCAGATTCCATTCATATCTTATGTACTTTGCAATTATTTTCCCCTGTGCTTGGAGTACTTTCCCCTAGATATCCATGACTGCTTATTCATTCACTCATACCTTTACTTAGAAGTCACCTTGGTGAGGCCTACCTTGGTTACCAAATAAAAACAAAGTTTATAACCTCTTACTCCAAACTTCATATCCTCTTACTACTTCATTTTTTCCTCCATAGGACTTACCAATATATAATTTACCTTATATTTTCTGTATGTATCATGTTAACTATCTGTCTGCCTCTTCAGAATATGAGCTCCGTGAGGGTTAGGCTGTTTGGAAGTTTTGTTCATTGTCGTATTCTCATTGCTTAGTATGGTAGCTGTACAGTAAATACTTGTTGAATGGGCAAATGAATGAATGAACTGGAGAAGAGAACCTAATTAGAGTCAGCAAAACTGGATTTTAAGATTATCTCTGTGATTAACTCATTGTTTGAGCTTTCATATTTTTCTTCCTGTCTTGATTTTTGCCTCTGCAAGATGAACATTAAGGTTCCTTGTAACTCTAGCTTTCTATGTATGTATATTTGACATAGAACTGATTGCTAATGTGTGAGAATAAAATAGTTTGCCGTGTTTTGGTAAATGTTAGCGTTTTTCACTTTGAAAATTAAAAAAATTTAATGCTCAATTTTAAAAGAAGATTTGGTTTATAACTTGACACAACAATGAATGAGATCTACATATGTGGTTGAGATGCCTAAAGCTTTTAATGAATGTTCTAGCAATTATGACTCAATAAATTCATAAGTTCTTCTATCTCTGAATTGCTTTTTCACGTTCATATTTTTAAAGGCTCATCATACCTTTTTAAAAAATGTCAACTCATTTATTGTTTTAGCCAGTCAATCATCAAATTCATTCAGACTTGGTTATTGCCCAGCAAGTAGAGAAAAGCCAGAGAGGGCAAGATTATTAAGGGTTTATGGAAGTTTATATTTTGGTGAATCATGGAATCTGAGCTAGGTAAGGAGAAAGAAGAGGATATGAGGATAGCCTTCCTTTGCTACCCTTAAAATACTACTACTAGTACTAGTTCTATTACTACTACTACTACTACTACTACTACTACTACTACTACTACTACTACTACTACTAGCAAACCCAAACCACAACATGACTCTCATGTTCTTTACTTTATTAATGGAATCTCCTTTCACATTGTAGGGTTATTATAGATCTTTCTACTTGATGACCTCAAATCCAGTTAGTTTCCTAGTTCTGTCAGTGTTTCTTAAATCTGTTCTCTCTACTACATCTGTTTCTACTGCCACCTTAGCACAGCCCCTTACTATCTCTTTTCTAGCTTACTGCATGCCACCTGATAGGCTGTCATGACTCTGTATTCATTCATATTCGGTAGAATATGTAGTAAAAGGGGAATGGGAAGGTATAGTCTCAACTATTGAACTTCTATAAAACTTATTAGATGATAGGTGCTCTCCTAAACAATATGTATATATTAACTAATTTATTTAATCTTCACAGCAATTCTTTGAGGATGGTACTGCTATTGTCTCTTTTATAAATAAGAAAACTGTGGCCTGGAGTTTTAAATGACTAGCTAAGGCCATGCAGCTAATTATGGCCGGAGGTAAGGACTGAACCCAGGCAGTCTAGTTCCGGAGTCTGTACTCTCATCCACTACACTGTATGCAGTTCCTCAAGTGTGCTGTGCAGCCCCACTTCTGTGGCCTTGCAGATATTGTTCCTCTGCTTGTGATATCCTTACTGCTTCTCCTCTAGGTGCTAACTTCTATTCACATTTTGAGAATCAGTGCAAACATTTCCTCTTCTGAGATGATGGCTTTGATGAACTCTTCTCTATGTCTTCTTTTCCAGGACCTAAGTTATCCTTGTTAATGTGTGCCCATTGAATTTCTGTTGTGGCACTTATTACTTTTATATTCTTATTTTACTTCGTCTGTGTCCACCCCTCCTCCCATATCATCGGAAATCAGCATAGTGTCTATTTGTTTAAAGAATAGTAAAAGGAAGACATGAAGCTCTTAGCTATCTCCAATATTTAAATTTATTTTTAGATAATACTAATGGAAAAACAGATAGGAATATTCACTTATTCATGGTCAGCATTTTGTATTCATATCTGATAAAAAGATTATTCTGACAGTAGTATAAATTTTTATTTGGTATATGATTTTTTTCAACTGCTTATAAATATGTGAATGCTAGAGCAATGCAATATTACATTTGTCAGACTTTGTGTTTTTCTTGTATAGGGCTGTAATCAGTGATCCAGAACAAAATTCAACCACTGAGAAACAAGAAAGTGCTCATATCCTCCCAGATTCAAAGTTAGCACCACTTCGATTTAGGAAAAGAACACTACATGAAACAAAGTAAGATTTTAATTATATAAAATGAGGATGTGCTATGTTATAAATATATTTTTAAAATGTACTTCTGCATTTAATTGGAAACTTTTTGTGTTTGTGTTTGCTATTTTTCTATATGCTGAAAAGTGGAATTTTTGGAGTTCACATCTTAGTTCTGTCACCTTAAGGTACTGGGGACAATACTTCATTCTACTGTCTTTGCCACCCAGGTTTTTTTTTATTTGAAATTTAGGGAGAAAAGCCACAACCTTCAGATCAGAGATAATATATCTTAAAATGTGTAATATAGTAAATAAGACATTTGTATGTGTACAATATATTCTGGCTAAATCTCATTTATATAGTAAAAATTAGTACTACTTATAAGTTTTTTGTGTTTTTGTGTGTGTTTTACTTTGTAGCCTATCAAACCTTTGGGTTGGTATGGACTTTTACAGTCCTCTGGTGCTGTCCACTTAAATTTCTCAACAACTTACTGACATGTAGCCTAAACTTAAATAGGCATAAAAAATCTACTAGTATCTATAGTTGCTCCTTTATATTTTCAGACTGCTGTAATTGTTAGTACTTTCTTATCACTTTTACCTTTTTGTCTCATTCTTATTTTCTGGAAGCCTTTGCTTCCATACATTTAAATATTTGAAGGCATCGTGTATTAGTTTCCTATTGCTGTTGTAATAAATTATCACATACTTAGTATTTTAAAACAACGTAAATTTATTCTCTTACAGCTCTGGATATCAGAAGCCTAAAATCAAGGTGTCGTCAGGGCTATGTTTCTTCCAGAACTTTTCTTGGCTTTTGCAGCTTCTAGAGGTTGTCTTCATTCCTTGGCTCCTGGCCCCTTCCTCTATCTTCAAAGTCAGAAATGGCTGGTCAAGACTTTCTCATGGCACATCGCTCTGACACTCTTCTGTAGCTACATGTCCCTCTGCTTTCCTCTAATACAGATGTGTGATTGCCTGAACCTACCTGAGTAATCCTGGTAATCTCTTCATCTTAAAATCCTTAACTTAAGATATGTCACAACCCTGTTATCATTTAAGGTAACATAGTCACATGTTCCAAGCCCTAGGATGAAGACATTTTGGGGGTGGTGGGGGCCACCATTTATCTACCACACATCTAAACTTTCCTTTTTGAAAGTAAACTTTTACTGACATAAAACATACATTTACAAAATATGCCAACTGTAAGTATTCAATATAAGAATGATCACAAACTGAACAGTATTCACGTACCAAACTCCTAGATCAAGAAACAGAACATTGCCTGTACCTCAGAAGCTCTCCCCTTGTGCTGAATCCCATTAACTATCCATTTTTCCTGCCTTTTCAGGTTCACCTCTCTATCCTAACATCATAAATTAGGTTATGAACTTTATATAGGTGAAATAAAAAATTTGGACTCTTTATGACTGGCTTTTGTCACTCAACATTGTGTTTGTGAGTTTTGTCCATTTTTTTTCCCCGATGGCACTAGCCTCATAGCATCACATCTTTCTGGTTTTTCACATGAATATCAAGGAGCCGAAGGTTTTTTTTGTTTTTGTTTTTGTTTTTTGGCAAGTGGCTGAATTCTTGACCTTGGTGTTATAACACCATGCTCTAACCAACTGAGCTAACTGGCCAGCTGTTTTTGGTTGTCTTCTTCTTCTTTTTTTTTTTTTTCTCATTGCTGTATAGTATTTCATTATATAAGTATACCACAACTTATACATTTGGCTATTTAAAAATAGTGATGCCATGAACTTTCTGTGCATGCCTTTTGGTGAACATATGTCCTCATTTATGCTGGGTACATACTTAGAATTACTGGACCATTTGGTATGCATATGTTCAACTTTAAAAGATACTGCCAGATAGTTTTCCAAACTGGCTGCTGCAATTTACACTCCTACCAGTAGCAGTTTGAGGGTCCTAGTTAAAACACGTCTTTGCCAATGCTTGGTATTATCTGTATTTCTCATTTTAGTTCTTCTTCTGGATGTGTGTTGGTGATTTTAATTTGCATTTCACTAAAGAATAATTTATATTGGCCATATAGATATCTTCATATGAAATTCCCATTCAAGTTTGTTGGGTTGTCTGTCTTTTTCATGTTGATTCATTGGTCTTATTTATATATTTTGGATGTGAGTCTTTCTCAAGCTATATTTGTTGCACATATCTTTTCCCACTCTGTAGTCACCTTTGCATTCTCATGGTCATAACTTTTTTAAAGGCCAGTTTATCAATCTTTCCCTATTTGTTAAGATTCTTTGTATTTTTGAGAAATCTCTGACTACCATAAAGTCATTAATTAAGGGCACTTATGTTATATGTCAACTAGTTATAAATGCATGGCTGGTTTCTAGGCTTTTCAGTCTTATCTATCTGTATCGCTGCACCAATATTACCCCATCTTAATCAGTATTGCTTTATATTAGAGTAAATAATAAAGCAGCTTGTTTAAAGCTAATCTAGTTCCATGAAAAATCCAGTGGGGGTATTGATTAGAATTATTGGATTTATAGCTTTCACAAATTCACAAATTCAGAAGCAGAAATTGGTATGTGTAGTGCAGTCCTTCCTCTCCTCTGTCTCATGGGAGGCATCTGCCTGCCAAAGCACACATACTGCCCTGTGCATTGTAATGAGTGAGTTAGTCTGTTTATTTATGGTTAGTGTTAAGAACTTAGCTTGTTGTTGTAGCTTACCTAAGCAATGGTTTCTAACAGCTTTATCGATAATAAAATTCATCTTTTGGTCTTCAATCTGCTTGATTCTTCTTTCTGTATTGGTTAGGAACTTGGGAAGAGAGAAGTATTTGTGTTGTTTATTGGGCACCTAAAACTCACTTTGCATTTTATAATGTAAATGTTTATTTAGTTTTTTAAATATTTTCAAAAAGACTGTAGGGGCCTTCAACTTATCACCGTTAAAGTGAGTTCTGTTCACCATTAAGAAGCAATACAATATAATGGTTAAAAACAAGGTTTTTTCTAGTTCTGCCATTTACTAATCATATGGCCTTGGGCAAATTGCTTTTCTCTGATTCTGTAAGCTTTATTTGTAAAAAGAGGATAATAGTGTTTACCTCAGAGTTATTACAAGCATTAAGTAAAGCAATGCACATTAAAGTTATTTTAACAGTGACTAGTGTCTAAGAAGTTCTCAATAAATGGAAGCTGTTATTGTTGCTGTTATTTTCTCAGCATTTAGAATTGTTCCAGGCACATAGTGGACATTCAATAAACACATTAATAGTGGTGGATTAAATTGAATTGAGAGGACTAAGCTTTCATGACTCTATTCACAAACTCATTTAGTTTGCAGGCTCTTGCTTTCATTTAGTTCCTGTCTCCTGTTTCCTTTTTTGCAGATACCTAGATTTTATAGAGGTATAGCTTTTCAAGATAGTCATGACCTACACACTTAATTACTATTTACATTATTGCTATTTCATTATACCTGCAGTTTTATGGGGGGAATATCATAAAATTATTTGGCTAGGGAAGTAAAAATACATTATTGAATCTTCAGATCTCTTAATATTAGTATGTAAATAGAGGAGATTATCAGTAGTAGGATGCCGAAGTGTGTGCATTTGGGTTTTGCTTCATATTGTTAGACAGAATTTTAGGGCTGGCAGTCTTTATGAGGTCATTCAGTGCTGACTGAAGGCACTAACAATTAAATAACTGATTAACATATGCCAAGGTTCAAACTTTATTCAGCTAAGTTTTCCACTATTCCGTGATTTTGGTAACTGAAAACCTGACTGACAGTGGCTTAAAGAAGTCAGAATTTATTTTTCTTGTATAACCAGTTGCTTGGAGGTAGGCAGTTGTTGGTTTTGGTTCAGTGATTCAGTGATGTTACAGCTCTGGGCTGTTTTTCCTAAATCTTATTGACCTTTCTGATGTGGTTGCATGGTGGTTATAGTGCCTCCTAGCGTGATATCACTGCCACATTCGCAGGCAGGATCTCTTCCCATGCCACTCTTATCAGGACAAAAGAAAGTCTTCCCTGGAAGATTATTGGCAGAACTGGGTCCTTTAGTCACCCTTAATGGCAGGAGGCTAAGGAAGCAACTTCTATAAGTGAGAGGGAAGCCAAGGAGAAGAGGGTTGGAAGTGGGTTTTAAGTAGCCCTGCAACAGTACCAGTCACAAGTGTGCTGGTTCTTTTCAATATTTGCTTTTATAGCACTTTGATGGTATAGATTCTAACATAAAAGTCACTATGTATTATATACTATATCTCAGAGTTATTTCTTCTGTGTGTGCTACAATTAAAAATCTGAAAAAAGAAGTTACGTACCTTCATCTTTATCCGATCTTTGCTGTTTCAAAATATTAACATAATCTTTTGTACATTTGTCATTTACATCAAATGCAGTACGTTTAAAAACTTAGTGACAAAATGTATTTCTTAACAGGATAAGAACCCATTCTACATTAACTGAAAATGTGCTTTCTCATAAAGTGCAGTTTGATGGTAGGATCATATCAAGGTAATTGTGATAATATTAAATTTTTAATCCTATGGTTATAAAAATGTATGCTCTTTTAAAATAGTAATAATACAAAGGATATTAAATTTGTCTCATTAAAATGAAAAAAAACATGAATTTAGAACAAATGACTTGAGATATTTATCTGTTATAACAATATAGAAATTATAAACCTGTAAGAAAAACATTTTAATTAGAAACTATTTAAAAGGGGATTTTAAATGTCTTTTAGAAAGAAACTTAGAAGTGAATTTTAAAATGCATGTATTACTATGAGAAAATTCTAAACTATTTGAAAATTAACATTTGTGTAACTTGCTTTATTTAATTTCCTCTTAATAGTTAACAGTAGATTATTGATAGATACAGAAGTGAGAAGGAAAGTGATTCTTAAATCTGTTATCTCAGTCTTATACTTCCAGGAATAAATAATGCAACTTGATATTCTTCATGTATGTTACTGGTAAAGTGTGTATTTTTAAATTATCATATTTGTTCAATGATTTAAAACATTTTTTATTTCAATAAAAAATAATAAGTGTATGTCTTTGAGTGCCTTCTTGCAAACAATATTTTAAGGTCTTTATTTTAAAAGTCATGTTGAATTAGTAATCTGCATTGTGACATATCCATATTCATATCGGTGTAAGATAAAGTTGTTTTCTCTTTCCAAAGCCACCTCGACACTTCAACAAGGTGTGCTGTGTTTTCCATACAGTTGCCTGTACTCTCAATCACTGCCACACACTTGAGGGAGTTATGCTATCCCCCTTTGAAATGCACAAATTTATTTTATCATTTAATTTTAAAATTACTGCATTTGAAAATATCTGGTATCATTCTGTTCTTCTAGAAATGGACATGATGCTTGCAGAGAGCTGATTGGGTTCTTNAAAAAAAAAAAAAAAAAAAAAAAAAAAAAAAAAAAAAAAGAGGCTTCCTGGAGAAGGTGCCATCTAACCTTGACTGGGAGATAAAAGTAAGATAGGTGATGAGGATAGGTGGAGGAGACAGCTAATGCCAAGAACAAAAGCAAGAAAACACTTGGATAATTTGGAGAACTGGAAGTAGTTCAGTCTGGCTGGAGTACAGAGTTCGGGGAGGGGTGGTGGTTGGCATGAGATGAGTTAGAGTTTATTAAAAGCAACCTTATGTTAAAGAGTTATGTAAAATGTGCTATGGAGTCACTGAAAGAGAAGATGTGAATGGAATCGGGGGAGGTGGCATGATCAAGTTTGTGACTTACAAAGATCTCTCTAGTTACAATGTTGGAATAGATTAAAGACTAGGTACATAAGGACTGGACTGGATTGAATTATATTATTTGGGAAAGAGGTTATGGCAAACTGAAATAAGTTAGTGGCTAAGGCTATGAAACTTCAGATGCACTCACACAGACTGCATGGATGTACCTTGTGCACACATGTAAGTGTATACACNTGGTATCATTCTGTTCTTCTAGAAATGGACATGATGCTTGCAGAGAGCTGATTGGGTTCTTTTTTAATCATGACCAGTCTCTTACAATCTATGAGTATCGGCAATTCGGGAAAAATAGGTATGCCGTCAAAGGTTGTTAGACCTCTCAAGATGATTACTTCTGAGAGAAGCTGAATAACTTTACATTTTTTTTTCATTTAACTTATAGAACAAATGTGCTTCCTTTTATTCAAAAAAGCACGTACAGTCATCAGTGTGGACGAAGAAAAGGAAAACAATACCAACTTGGTGATTTTTATATTGTAAGTTAAGTATGTGTGCATGCAAATGTTTAATACCAGATGTTGGATTTTGTGTGGTCTGTGGTGGTGGAGGAGAGGGGCTTCTAATCTTCAATTTATTTCCTTTCTTCTTACTAAGCAGAGACATTTGTGTGAATGGGCTAATGGTTGATGTTTCCTCAGAAGGTTCTGCCTCCTGGGCCCAGATCCCAAATGTCTTAATAAGCATGACATTTATTCCCCATGACATCCCCACTCCATTCCACAATGTGGGTTATCCCCAGGAGAGCTTTGTGGTCTCTTGCCACTTTGAAAGGCTCTACAAGGCTGTCGTTGGATAAGTGGCTACCTCAATAGTAACAGTAGTAATGCTCTACCTAAAGCAAGCTTATCCTCTGAAGATGTGTGGTTTCCTCCATATGGAAGGTTATTGGCCACTGGAGCTATATATATTTGATAGTTAGCCTGTTCTCCTTGTGATTTTATCACTTTGGGAATTTCCTGGCATATGGTGTGTCACAAGAATTCCCTGGAATGGGTGGATCATAGATAATGTAAGACTTTGTATAGTGCTCTTAAATTTCAAATCATATTCACATGTTATATCATAATTAAAGTACAGCACTATGCGCAGCAATCATTCATGTAACAAATATATATTCATAAGCTAAGCATGGGAGATAGAATAGAAAGTTCGACCCTTTCACTGGATTTGGAGCTTACATCTAATTGGAAACACAGATAGGAGGGCCAGATAGTAGTTTCAATTATCTGGTTTTTGTGGAGTCAAAAGAGGCTTCCTGGGGCCGGCCTGGTGGCACACTGCTACAGTGTGCTGCTTGGGAAGCGCGGCGGTGCTCCCGCTGAGGGTTCGGATCCCGCGTACAGA